CCCCTGGAATGGATGGTTGTGAGTCAGCATGTGGGTACTGGGAACTGAACTCAGGTCCTCCAGAAGAGTAGCTAGTGCTCTTAACCACTGAGCCATCTCTGCAGCCCCAAGCATGACATTCTGAACATGTTCACTTGTAGAAGCCTCTGGCAATGAGCCCATGCTTCCTGATCATGGCAGGGGCTGTTCCTGCTCTAAGAGGTAGGTGTAAGCAACTGAAGGGACACACCCTGTGGAAAGAACTCAGAGGAGGCTCTGCTGCTCATGCAACTTTTACTTCACTACTGTGCAGTTCCCATTCAGAAAGACTATTTCTTGTCTACTGTTATTGGGGAATAACTGTATTGAGACACTGTGGAACGGCTATAATGCGTTGCATAATAATTAAGCTTTTTTTCCTCCTCTTGTCTTTAACTCTGACTTCTGTTTTCATGTACTATAGCCTGGGAAAAGAACACACCGAATGCTCCTAGATTTCTGAGATGGGCTAGGTCATAAAAGTCTTGAAATTCATTATTATCTTTGTTTTTTTTTTCAAGCAATAGACTTTTAAAACACTGTATTCTTGGGCTGGAGAGATGGCTCAGTGGTTAGGAACACTTTTGCTGCTGTTGCCGAAAACTCATGTTCAGTTCCGTGTGACAGCTTATAGCCATCCATAACTCTAGCTTCAGGGGACTGAGTGTCCTCTTCTGATGTCCTCCAGTACCAGGCACAATTCAGATGTGTAGGCAAACATTCATTCCTACAACAATAAAGCCAATAAATCTAAAACCATCTTATTCTTATGAGTGCAAAAAGTGTTATCACGGAAAGTTTGGCACAAAAAATAAAATAATAAATCACAAATATTTATGTCCTCATGTTTCTGTACAGCTCTAATGATGAAGGTGAAGTTTTATAAAGTATAGGCCTTAAAAGTTTGATGTGATTCTCCTTGATTGAGGGTAACCAGTCAGTCTGCCCTTTGCCTCAGTTAAAATGTGTAGGTGTATTTGGAGATGGTTGGTGCTTGCTCTCATTTGTATCCTAACTAACTCAGGGATGAATTCTATTTTTCATTCAGATTTTTAAAAACACATGTCACACACGCCCACACACATTCTCTTTTGGCCTTCATCTCTAAATATAAACAGCCAACCATCATTGACACTAGTCAGCCTTTATCAAAACTTTTCCTGGGGAGGAGACCCTTTGCATCCTAACACAGTCTCCGCATGTAGTGAGATGGATGTGAGTAGATACAGTCAGAACCAGTGGTAGAACAGGAAAGAAGGTGTGCATCCTGGGAAATGTCTGGTCTGGAGAGAATACCAGCTCTGCTGAATCAGGTTTCAACAACTGACAAAGTTCTGGCAGATGGCTGGGTGTAGAGATGGAGCATACAACATGAAGAAGAGAAATGGAGTGTTGCTAAACGCCAGTGGAGAGGAAGACATAGTAATCATCTCTTTCCTGAGCAAGCACTCCTAAGAGGAACACCTGACTCATAAAATTGCAGCGAGTATTGAACAGCATAAAGTGTGTGCAATGTGTAGTAGAAAGTCTGACCCACAGCTCACATTCAACAAATATTTCTCAATGAATGACACCTTCTACTTGCAATGATCACAACAACCTTCGTATCCACTCTTTGATTTCTTTTTCTATCTGAATTAAACAGTTAACTGAGATTAAAAAAATATTCAATGGAAACGTCTAGAAAGAAGCCACACAGTTTTAAGAATGACATGTTGTTATGAATAGTGCAATGAAATCTGTGCTACTTTGTTCTGCTTGGGGACATTGAATCAATTGGTCCATTGACCAGCGGAGAGTGACAGAATAAGAAACATGAATTCTACCTCTGTTCTCCATGGGTACAAGCATGGGTGTGTACACAGGTGCACACACATACACAGCATTAGTTGAACATTAGTAGGATGACAGTATTGGTTGTGATGGTTGTAATATTAGCATTTATTTTATTAAGCCCTTCGGTCAGTTGGCTAGAACCTAGAGGTCTTATCAGATACAATAACAAATGACAGATAAACACGAAGTTTTTGTTTTGTTTTGTTTTTAATGTGGAGAGTGGGTATGAATGAGTAAAATTGAAAGCTATAGTGTATCTTGGTGAGTGGCAACTCCAGAATGTGAATCTGGAAGTAAGCAGAGTGGTGTGTGTGTGTGTGTGTGTGTGTGTGTGTGTGGAAACACATGAGTAGAAAAGCTCAAGTCACAAAGGAAATACTGGCTACAAGGACAATGGAAAAAAATAGCAGTAGAGCTTGGAGAAGTGATGTTCACATCAGTACATGTCCCCTTCATAAAGCTGTCATTGAGAACATCATTTTATTGGGTGGAAATATGTTGAGATAAGCGTCCTCAGAAGGCTAGAAGTGTAAGGTGCACGGTCTCATCGCAGACAGAGCCTGTCACCCATATAGTATACAATGAGTGTGCCAAGGGTTTTTCTGCTGGTCACTGAGAGGCCCTGGTGAGCTGTGTTCCTAGTTCCATGTCCCTACATCCTCCTGCTTGTTTCTCTAGCCCACCAGGGAGGTGGAGGGGATAGAAAATCCCCCTTCACAGAGAGATTTTTAAAGCCACCTGCAACTCATAAAAATAACCATCAAAACTGATTCATCAGTATTGACTCACAGTGTTTCATTTCTTGATTATAATTGGAGGACATGAGTCAAGGGAGAAAACTTCAGGGTAGTGATATGGTTGTCTTGGAAAATGACAGCCTGCAATGTTAGAACTTTAAATATAGACTATGTTAACAACAACAAGAAGAAAAAGGAACTGTGATAAAGTTCTAAAATGTTTTTGTGTGAAAGACAATGATGAACTGACAGGAGTTTCTTGCAATTTGATAAATGTTGTATGCTCTGTACTCGTGGGATGCACCATAGTAAACAGATGAGCTGGGGTTAGGAAAGATCCTAAGCAGGGATCACTGGGAGAGCCAGAGGCACACCCTGGGCTGCAAGATACAGTGATTAAATATAGGCACAATATTAACAGTCTCAAATGAATACAGCCAGGTTATGGCAGTCTATAGCCAAAGTGTCTGACTAGGATGCTATTGGCACTCATAGCAGGTAAAGTTTACATCTCTCCCCTTTTTCCTTATTTACAAACTGGTGCTGAGTAGACCTCAGTGAAAACTGTGAAACAGCCATGGAAAACAAACAGCCACAAGAAAAGTCAACTATGTGTGAAAGGTTCCCAACTTGAGAATGTGAAATCCAAAAGAATCCAGAACTCTAAATTTTTTTGAGCCCTGATGTAATGTCACAAGTTCAGAACTCCATTCCTGACCTCACTCTATAGGTCATAGCCAAAATGCAGGTGCAATAAACACATAAGTAAAAAATGTAAAATTACTATTATGCTGTGAGTACGTGGAGAAGAAATATAAGTGGGTGTTGTTACATGGCTGTCTTTGCCAAAATATCTTATTCTGTATATGCAAAAAAAATTTTAAATCCAAACTTCACCTGGGTGGTGGTGATGCACATCCTTAATTCCAGCACTTGGGAGGCAGAGGCAGAGGGATCTCTGAGTTTAAGACCAGCCTGGCCTACAGAGTGAGTTCCAGGATGGCCAGGGCTACAAAGAAAAACCCTATCTCAAAAAAACAAAACAAAAAACAAAAACAAGCAAACAAAAGCAAAAAATCCAAACTCCAAAACACATCAAGTCCAAGTATTTCAAGTCAGGGATACTCAGTGTGTTGCAGAGTTTCAGCCGCCACTGCCTTTCACAGCCCACACAGAAGTCAGAGGACAATGTGTGAGAATTGTATCTGTCTGTCCACTACTGGGGCCCCAGGGATTGAACCCAGGTCATCAGGCTTGACACCAAGCCCCCTTTCTCACAGAGCCAATAGCTGCACTCTTACTGCATGTTAAACTAAGAATGCAATCTAATGCTTTAATGCTGAGGGCTAGACAGGTGTCATCTGAAATCAGAAGCGAGAGTACTCTCCTTCAGGGAAAGTGTGACTCAGGCACGCAGGTCCTATGGTACGGTCACTGATGCTCTCGATCGTTCAGTGACATTGAAGGGAGGACAAAGAAAGAAGCATGAAGACATGTGCAGGCTTGGGCAGAAGCAACAAATGCACATGGGAAATTTAAAAATATTTTTTTAGCCAGGCGAGAAGCCAATATTGTCTTTGTTAGGAGTATTAGAAGCACCAAGCTTTTTCAAATGCCAAGAAGTGACTATTAGAATAGAGATGCCATTACAATGTGACCTAAAATTCTCTCACCAGCTCCTGCCTTTGTGCTGGCAGGCCCGATAAATCCTAACAACTTCAACGGTTTCAACGTGTGGCTTTCCAGACTAGAGTTCTACTTTCACATATTAAAAAAAATTCTTAACGAGAGGACTATTCTACTTAGAATGCCTTTTTTTTTTTTTAAAAAAAAAAAAACAAAAATCTTGCCCATACCCAGAATTCCTGTCACTTCTTCGCAAGTGTGCAGAGAGACTTTCATCCAGCTGTGCCCTGGCAAAAATACTGACTTCTTCATACAAGTGGCAGCTTCTAGATGGCTCCCTTGTGTGCTTCCTACCCAGTTTCAAACAAGTAATCCTAACAATCCTGCGATTCCTTCATTGAATACTGATTTACTGAGAAGCAAGGTTTGCTGTTAACTAGCAGGTCGGGCAAGTTCTGTGACAAAGTACATTGCTATTCATCCTTATATTGTTTTAAGTCTAATCCACACCCCCCCACACACACACACACAAACACACAACAACTGAAGCTTACTGTGGTAGGTAGCCCTTCCCCTACTCTCTCCATCCCGAAACTACTATGGTACATCTAGAAGCACAAACGTTTCTTAGAGCTCCAAAGTATTTAAATGCAGTGGAGCCTAGGAGGTGGAGCCAGCTGAGTCTACCGCAAGTGCAAGTCACCTCTGAGGAAAACCTGCCACCTCCGCCCTGCATCTGCACCCGCACCTCCTGCAAGTTCTCATTTGAAGGCTGGTACTCACTTTTATCTCAGAGAAAGGGAGAAACACTTAAGACCAGCAACGTGACTCTGGAAATCTTTAATTCCGGCACAAGCTTCTTGGAAACACAGCGTTTCTCCTCAACAGCTTTGGTTTCAGGAAGTGGGAATGTGAAATGAAAAGCCCTTGCTGGCTCAGAATCTGCTTGTGTGTAACTCCACCACAGGACACTCCCCTTTGGTGGCTGCTGCCGGAAAGGTATGCTGGTAGTTGTGTTACTGTGGCTGGCACCTTCTGCCAGAAAAACCCCAGCTTCTTCCTCCGGTGCAAATAAACATGTTGATACACGTGCCTGTGTGACTCCTAGTTCTCTGCTCTAACTCCGAGACAGAGCACAGACATGAGACTATGAGAGCTAGCTTGTCTTTGGATGACGTCAACACAGTGTCATCGTTCGTGAAATCTCATTGGTGACCTGTTCTTTCATTCATGGATGATTGACTATTCTGTCCCGGGCCAAATAAGGAGCTTCCCTGCAGTTTCCCAAGAGAAAGAACTTGTTTGTCCTTCGATGAAGCAAATGAAATCTGTGACTGAAGTGTGGACAAAAGCATGTCAAGAATGCACGAGAAGATGATAAAACGTTTATCAAAATATATCTTACTGAAAAAGATTACTAGGTCAACACTATTTTAACTTTCTTAATCCTTTCTGAGCCTGCTTTGGTGAAAAGGTCTAGAGTGAATAAAGAATGCATTTTATTAATAGCAACCTGCTGGGTTTGGGTAAAACCTTTGGCATACAAGCCCAAAGTGCATGGTTCCCTACTTGTGCAACAAATACTATTTCTACCTAAGAAGTGGAAGGAAAGAATCAAGTAGTCAAAAGCTCTGTTCCCTAAACCTAACTTATGATAAACAATAATGCTTCATATATGACTTTAGAAGTTGTTCAAGCAGCCTGGTAGTGGTGGTGCACATCTTTAATTCCAACACTCCAGAGGCAGAGGCCATCCGATCTCTGTGAGTTCATGGCCAGCCTGGTCTACATGGTGAGTTCCAGGACAGCCAGGGCTACATAATAAGACCTTGTCTCAAAAACACAAAAAAAAACAAATGAACAGAAAAGAAATTACTCAACCCAAGTACTCAGAATTGCTGTAACAAAACTTCTTATTCATTTATTTAAGTTTCCTGTTTATGTATGTACTTTCATGGAATGTTGCTTTATTGTAGCTATAAGCAGTATGTATCTGTTAACTAATTTATTAACCCATAAATCGCACTGAAAAATGTACTCTTAAACAGTACTCTATTATTTAATATTAATCAAATATGTAACTTTGTATTTGTCCTTTAAATCAATTACAAGTTAAAAATACAGGTATTGTAAATATATAAGTATTTAAAACATTTATTCAATAGCGTCTGTAGCAAAGAAGAGAAACGGTTTTAATTTATACTTTTTTTCATTGTATATCAATGATGAAAATTTAAAAATTTATATTACAACAAAAGTCTATGGGGGAGTGGAAATAGAAACAGAGAAGGAGATAAATGAATAATATAATTTTTTTCACTCGCTGAAAAAAGACTCTTTATAGAGAGATGTTAGGAAGGGAGTCCCAAATCACTTGATATATAATTTTGTTTGGCCTTTAAAAGAATTTTCATGGGCCTGGTGGGACACACCTTTAATCTCAGGACTTGAGATGCAGGTGCAAGTGAGTATTTGTGAGTTGAAGGTCAGCCTGATCCCCTGGTACACAAAGGGAGTCCCAGGCCAATGAAAGCTACATGGCGAGTGAGACCTTGTCTCAAGAAGAGAGGGGAAAAAGAAAAGAAAAATGCATAGAGCTGTGTTTAGGAAAACCACACAGAAATCTTTTGCAATTATTTAAAGTTATAATAAAAGATTAACATCAGCTTCAATATATGTTACTCTTATATGTTTGGGGACATGTAAGAAAAAAATGTTAGGATTATTTGGGGAGAAGGAGTGAAATTTTAGTGCCTAGAAGAAGGCAATTGACCCATGGAAATACAAGAAGACACGGACAGAAGAGAAGATGATGGTGGTTGAGTCATTTATCTTCATAGAGTTTGGACAATGTCCACATCTGTCTTTGATAAGGATTCCTGGCAAAATTCCCAGAGCCATTGAAACATGAGATGCAATGTTTTCTTTCTAATCACAGTGTTGAGTTCCAGAAAATTTTCGGTGATAACAGTCCTAGTAGGAATTTAATAGTGAAGCCTTCACTTACTGTAAATGTCAGAGGCATACACTATAAAGGAAGTCCATTATTATATACTTAGAAAAGCTGGCTACCCTACCACACTCATCTAGGTTTTATCATTTTGAATATAAAATCCTGAAGCAAACTGATGTCCCTCGTTCATTTGTATGACATTATAGAAATGTCTGTGTCTGGCTTGTGCCAAGTGCTGCCTTGGAGCTGTGGGTGCGGGCAGCATGCACACAACACCCTCAAGGCCCTGTGGTGGCAGGTGGGTAGGAGGAGAACGGACCTAAGAATTAGCTGGCTATTAGCATACACAATGAGTACTTTGTGCTTCATCATAATTAGTTTGCACTTTTGTCTCGGAAACACTGGCAGATCTTGGAAAACCTTCAGGTATGCAATAAGAAGAAGAATAAATTTTAGAAACAAAACTTTGAGTGGACAGATTGGCTTGTGGAATATGGTAGGAGTCAAGAAACTGAGTTCCAAAGCTATTATGATATTTTAGACATAACCAATGGCTGGTGCTAATGTGTCTAAAACTTATATTTCACAAATTCAAAGGATTCTTATAAGTTCCAGGGAGATAAATTGAACCCACCCAAACAGGTCAGATCCTCTCCAGATAAATATTCAACCTGTCCCTCATCCGGAGACTCCCTTCCCTCACCTTGGAACCCTCTTGGAAATTCCTCCCTCATCTTATGATCCCCCTCCTCTCAGGTACCAGGACCTAAGAAATTTTTTTTTCTAAACTTAACCTTGTCCTCTGCTCTGCCAACATCTTGCCAGGTGTAATTGGTGCCAGAGAGTCCCATACAGCCTGGACTGCGATGAAACAACCAGCTACCCGAGGACAGCTTTCTCAGGTCCTCCAAAGTTGGTCAACACCTCCCACATCAGCAGGAAGTAGTCTTGAGAATTTGATGCCCTTATTCCCGAACCTGCCATGCCTAACTCCTCACCTTTTTAATAATTAATAAAGGTGGGGATATAAGGATTCAATCATTATGCTGGCCTGCTCCTGTCACCTGGAAGAATGCACTCAGGCAGTGTCCTTCTCAAGTAGTGTCACTCCCTGACCACCGACCATTTAAATATGTGAGCCCATGAGGGCCAATCTTATTCAAACCACCACATTCCACTCCCTAGTCCCTAGAGTCTTGTACCCATATCATAATGCGAAAATGCTTTCAGTCCACCTTTAAGTCCCCATAGACTGTAATGGTCTCAACACTGTTTAAAATTACTAAGCTCAAAGTCTCTTCTGAGACACTACTATGTTTCGAGTTGTCTTCTCAGCAGCCTGGTCCCACAGCAGTGCCAGCCCCACACAGAGACGCTGTATTAGATATAAAGCTGTTGGCCTGTTACTAGCGTGTCTTATTGGCTAGCTCTGTCTTAAATATTAACCCATTTCTATCAATCTAAGTATTTCCGTGTGGTCTTATCTTACTGGAGAGAGGATCCCGAGTTCTGCTCTCTCAGGTCCCTACATGTTGAATCTCCTCTTACCTCCTCCTCGAATCACAGAGGGAGATTCCACAACCCCCTTCTTGTAGTTTCAACTTTAAAAATAGAACCACTTGGCTAAAGTTTCCAAGTAACTAAGTGTGGTAATTAGAAATTATGTGAAACCTATATAGTACCAGGGATTGGTAGAGATGATGGGTAGATCAATACAGTGAGATAACATCAACTGAATAGGAGAGCCTTGACATAATTTTACTTAATTTTAAAACAGGAGTAGAATCTGTGTGTTTCAAATTGCTGACGGATTGATAGAAATGTGCTGGGTTGTGGACATTTAATGCTATTTTCAAACTAAATACTAAGTCACGTTGTGATGGAACACCCCTTCCTTTTGTATTAAGAACATATATGATACTGCTCACTTCTGTTCTGACTTACGAAATGATTCTGGCCTGGCTCTTGGAGTATCTACTTCCCTAGAGAACTTAGTTCAGTCTCAGTGTACTTCCTATGAACCCCACATCACTCAGTATCTTTGACGAAGTGTGAAAGGCAGCTGAGGCCTCCACTAGCGCCTCAGGAAAGGAGTTTAGCCTCTCACGTAAAGGATGCTGGCAGCCACAAAGCACTCTCTGAATGCAAGAAGCCCTCACTCCTTGAGGTCATCTTAAAAAAAAAAAAAAAAAAAAAAAAAAAAAAAAGACGAACTTGTGGGCTGGAGAGAGGGCTCAGCCATTCATGGCTCACAACTCCCCTCAAAGAAGAATTTGTTATCATGACAACCACAACAAAGTGAAAGAAAAGTTTTGCTCCCTTTTCAAAAGGAAAACCACAGAACTGGACATGGTGTCAAACACCTGTAATCCTAGCACTGAGGAGACGGTGGCAGGAAAGCATGAATTTGAGGCCAAGCTGGGCTGTGCCGGGAGACCTTTTATTCCCTTTAAGGAAACTGTAGAAGAAAAAGTGGAGTAGAAGAGGAAGGAGGAGGGAGGAGAAGGAGGAAGAAGAAATGAAACATGAGTTCCAACAGCCGTGTTCTTAGCAGATTAAAGAATTCATGAGATTTTCATGCAATACGTTTTGATCTCATTCTTTCTGCTCTTCCTGATCAGCAGATTTGCAAAGGCCACACATTCGGGGCTGTGCATTTCTCCAAGCTAACATGACTCTGCTTAAGATTTGACTTTCAATAAAAAATAAAGCAAAATCTGAGGTAGCTTTGTGAAATAATCTCATTTTAAAAACTTCTTTTTTAATGGTCTTACAGGAAGGTACAGCAATAACACATCTAGAAAAGACTGTCTAATTCAGGGAACGAATGATTTGAGGTCACTTATGTTGTGCATGTCCTCTGGGGATCTTCAGAGGACTCACCAAACTGAAATTACAGAAGCAAGTGGGCACATTTCTTTTTGGCTCTTGTCTGAGTCAAGGGTTTAGAGTCATTTTGGGCCTCTGTCACTTGTCAAGGAGTCTGGCAAGCT